TTCATTGAAATTCGATTTGTATGTGTTCAGAAAAATTTGTGATCAGAGGCTTTAAAAGTGTTTATCCAAATAGGGACCTCAAAAACTGTCCCCAAAAGTAGGAAAATTTCAGGTTTTACTACACTTTGGGGGCAATTTGGTCCTCAAATGTGATCTATGCAAACCCACACACACATACTACCAGTCAAAAGAGATGTTAATGACTTTGGAGAAGACAGTGCCGACAGTGCTCATATAGGGCTGGCTTACGCAGAAACCTCGACTTAACCAAGAACAAAAACTGCTCGGAGCAGGTTTGAGACTTAGTGTAAATTGCCATAGCAGCATGCCTCGAGTAAAACCTACCCACCTTTCATAGAATGGGTTAATCACGAAGTTACACCATGTCAACAAGTTACTCGCAAAGTTACCCCAATAAGCCAGTAACCCTGCTTCGTAGTACAGGCCACTGGTGTGAGTGTGTGTAGGAAGTGACTGCTGTTTGTATTTAGGTGTGTTTGGTTTTGTTTTTTGTTTTGTTAGTCAGAGAGCAAGTGTTTGTCATTTGTTTCAGGCAGGAAAGTTAGATGGGGAATTGTCTTAGTTAGGCTGGTTAGGTTTTTTTTTGTTATTTTGGCCTGGGCCACTTCTGAAGTCAAGCACCAGTGTATTTGTATTGTGGCATTACCATATTATTGTATTATCCCTCATGTCTAAATACAATCACTGCCATCTCCTTTCACCTGTTATCTTCCACCTCCCCCCTTCTCTGCTCAGTACATGGGGTCATAGCAGTGGAGTTTGTGTATTCTCCCATTGTCGTAATGGGGTTTCCTCTGGGTTCTCTGGTTTCCTCCCGCAGTCCAAAAACATGCTAAGGTGAATTGGAGTTTCTAAATTGTCCTTAGGTGTGAATGATGAGTGTACCCTGCGATGGGCTGGTGCCCTGTCCTGGGTTATTCCCTGCATTGTGCCCGTAGTTTGCGGGATACGATCTGGACCTCTGTGATCCCTCATAGGACAAGCAGGTAAAGAAGATGGATGTGAAAAATGACATTATGCTCCAGGCTGCCCAATAACCTGTACAGAGACCTGCTGCAGTCTCAAGGTATCAGCCGCATCTGGCCTGCAACAGGATTTTTAATCACTATTAAATCTGGTCCACAGATCAATCAGCTTCTGCACAAAATGAAAAACTAATCAGCCTGTGAACTTTACCCCTGAGCTGAAAACACCCTCGCCAGTGGCCCACAAGTTAGATGAGTTTGAGACACCCGCTAAACTGGATTAACTGTCAGAAGGTGAATGACATCATGTGTTTTCTTACAGTATCGCATTTACCAGGTGAAGGCGGGTCGAGGTGGACAGCCTCTGGCATTCCTACTGTGTGACACTATGGGACTGGAACCAGCACCTAATAGAGGGGTGGACACTGAGGATATTGTGGGCATCCTGAAGGGCTACATACCAGACGAGTACAAGGTAAGAGCTGTATGTCTAACCAGGCCTCAAGAACAGCTGCTAAATAAATAAATGCAGGTCCGATCCCTGTAATGGCTTAAAAAAGTAAGATGTTTATAACTACTGGTCTTATTCTTTCCACACTATTTTCTGAGGAAACCAAATCTCATCCACTGTTGTTTTTTTTTTGTTTGAATAAAAAAGGTACTGATGTAATACAGATGTCACATCTCACTCACAGGGCATTTTGCTTGAGTTCCTCATGATCTCAAAGTCAGTGCATGTCTGTATGTCATTGACACTTATTTGTTTGTTTAGTTCAACCCTATGCAGCCATTTCAAGCTCAAGCATTCAACACATTGGCTAAGGACAGGATCCACTGTGTGGTGTATGTGATGGACAGCACATCACCTGGACTTCTGCACCCAGAGACAAAGAAGAAAGTTGATGAAATCAGAAAGAAAATTAACCATGAAAGTCAGTCATTGGGGAAAACTGGCAGGGAGGTGGCCACTGTGATTGAGTGTGTGTTGTTGGGGGGGATTGATTTGGGGTTTAAATTCATAAACATTCATCAGCTGTTTTGTATGTGTTTTATCACCTTCATCTCCTGAACCATGAATAATACTGAAAATTCATACAGTAACATGAGAAGGAAAGCTCAACCCTAGGAAGCTTGAGTGTCAGGATCAGTAGCGATGTGCGAGACGGGGAAGCAGGAGAAGGAGACTTTGGATTGTGGAATACGGGGCCTGAGGCCTCTCAGCCACTTTATTGTCTGACATGCCTTGACATTTCAAAATATTTCACCTATCTAAAAAACATTTATCCCAAAGTGTTACATGTGCTTTTATTCAGCACAAACTCAGCACCAATGATCTGAGATTATCATGTTGTTATCATGCGAATAGCGCGATTTGCAAGTAGGAAGGCGATCAGAGCTGCTTCGAGACGCAGACGCTTAAGTCAATCACTCTTGTTCTTTCTATTCGTATCACGAAGCTGTAAAAATATATTTAGTATCCACCTATATATATATTTGAAAAGTAGACCGTCCACGGTTTCTGAGGGTGTTTTTAAAATATGTATACGACAAAAACTCGCAGAGTTATTTAAACGGTTTGGCGAAATTTCTGTCAGATCCCGCTGGCGGGACCGCCGACCCCAGGGAGTTAATCAACAAAGGAACTAGGGACATGGAACAGGCAACTGAGAGCAATACTACACAATGAGACTTCAATGACAGACCCAGGGAAACGGACTCAGACGCGGACTAAAATACACAGGATTAATCAGAGATCACTCAAAACAGCTGATTGCAAATGGGGCAGCACATATGGTTAAGGAGGATCATACGAGCAGGTCATGACACTTGAGTACCATTTCTGCCAAAGCCAAGGAAATTTTTATTTATTAAGTTACATAATATCTAAATGTTTTCTACACATGTATGTACATAAAAAGTTAACTTTGGATACAATTTCACAAGATGCCAAAGCTACATATTTCTATATTCAGAAAAACCAAGAGAAAATTCCTGGAATGGAAAATGGCAAACTGAATGTTTCCGTAACTTTGGCAGGACCGGCATTCCTGCCATAACTGAAGGAGCTCCTGGCTGCTCCTCCACACAGAGCTGCTACATCTGTGAGAAGCTTGAGGGCTTAATGTCGCATAGGGCCCATTAAAGGGGTTGGGACTGAATGCTGTCAATGTGTTGAATGCTGCGAGATGTTTATGAAACTGTATCAGCTAATAGTGGTTATTCCATACATTTCATCTTCAAAGTGACTAGAAAGACATTTCTGTTGCTGTTTTTAGATGTCCCTGTAATGGCACTACTGACCAAAGTGGACAAAGTGTGCCCTCATGTGGAAAAGGATTTGAAGAACGTGTACTACAGCTGCCACATAAGGGATCTGGTGAGTATCAGATTCTAACACTGGAATCAGTCCTAAAGGCTGCACCAACATATTAGGACAGTATTGGTGGAAACCTACAGCAGGACCCTTGACTAGGAAATGAACCTGAATCTCCATAGCAACAATATGCAGCAGTATAAATGGACACTGAGTACAACTTGACAAGATGCCAACTACTGGACAGGTTACCAGTAGCAGCAAAACACACCCAGACAAACACAATGACCAAGCGACAGAGAGCAGTTCACCTGGCTGATTGTTTGTGGTCCGTAGGAGGAAACATGGTGAACAAGCAAACATCACACATAGAGTCAGAGGCAGGGATCGAGCCCACAGTCCTGTGGGTGTGAACCTTTGGTTTTTGATATCGCACTGGCCGACAAACCTTTATGTTCAACACTTTTTTTCTAAAGCAACATATTTACAGGCAGCCAAATGACTCAGTGTGCAGCACTGTGGCCTCACACCTGCATGGTTGTAGCTTTCAATCCCACCTCCACTCCATGTCTGTGCAGTTTCCATGTTCTCCATATGACTGTGCCCCCCTCCATAGCTGAAAACATGCTTTTGGGGTAAGTACACAGCAAATGTGCCAGTGTTAAATTAACACTGCATGGTGTCTATATGTGTCCACACCATTCAGTGTTACATTTAACACTTTACAGTGTGAAGTGAGTGGTGTTTGTACAATGTTAATGTTTATTAACTCTTATAGTGTTCAATTTACAACCTAGAGTGTTGTCAAAGAGTCTCCACCTCCACATATCTGCCCTATTTTAATATGCGCACAGGACATCATGAGGATCAAAAGAGCCATCCCAGATTTACCCACCATCATGAGAAAGACTCTGACCAAATAGGACCTTTTGCTTTTTATTCAAGCTTTGTTTGCTCAGTTCTGACTGATTTTGAGGATTAGAGCGCTGTGGGCTTATAGCATATTGCTGTTGAGTCAGAGGAAAAACTTTTGGAGATGTACTGGTTAGGTATCCAGTGTGGTATGTATTTTATGGGTGTGGGGTATGTTTGCTAGTCCTGCCCTTGGATGATTACCATATGTGGAAAGGTGTTATGACAGTGGCAATACCCTTTTCTGGGCAGCTCCTGGTACCACCCACTCTGCTGTAGACCAATAGTGCTGGATGTATATTTGCATAGCTTCACACAATACTGTTTTTGACTTAATAGATTTTTTTTAATCCACCGCGATTGTGATGAATAAGACAAGAGAACAAAAACCACAGAAATTGCTCTTGCGTGCCAGCCAGGGACCAGGTAGGAAGGTTTAGCCTACATAGCATAAGTAGAGAAGGCATTTGCAGGGAGGAAAATACTACAGAAAACCAATCATTTTGTTTCTTTTCTAAGCCTGGGCTCTCTAGGAAGATCTTTTGGCCCTTATGTAGCTGTATAATTGAGATTTCTTGGGGGACACACATATGCTGTATAAGGACTGCACTGCTCAGACCAATTAACATGCAGCAACCCAGAAAAACCTTTAAATAAATGTGTTACAGACTAATATCAGTGCCATGCCATCCTCGATCGTGGTGGGTTTCTACAAATTAAGCTTAATGAGAATCTTTATATTAAATGAGCAAAGTGATTTGATTTGTTCTATCGCAAGTTGTGGTCTAAAAGCAACGAGGCCACCACCCATTATATCTGCTTTAACAGAAATACACTCCTTCAGTCATTAAGCTCACCTTTTTTCAGCCCTGCTAAATAATAATGTTATGTAGTCTAACACAGTCTAACTCCATAACTTGCGTTTGGTGACTGGTGTCATACGTTTTACACACTTCTATATTACAGGCGGTTCTCTGTCTTTGGTTATTTTTGGTTATCAAGAGCTGAACTGAAATGGAACTCACATAAAAAGAGAAAAGGCTATGTTAGTCTGAGTCTTTCTTATTATGGTGGGTTAGTAAAACACAGCAGCTGAATGCCCAAATGAGTTCAAATGAGTGCACATTAAAATGGGGCAGACATGGGCCACCCATTTTGTACTTGTGTGCCACCCATATGGGCTTGCAATTTGGGAAGAGGTGGAGACACATTGTCCTAAAACTCTAGGTTGTAAATTGAACACTATAAGAGTTAATAAACATTAACACTGTAAAAACAACACTCACCGCACACTGAAAAGTGTTAAAGGTAACACTGAATGGTGTGGACACATATAGACACCATGCAGTGTTAATTTAACACTGGCACATTTTCTGTGTAGCATCTCTAAATTGCCCACAGTATGTGAGCCAACATCCTGTTGTCTGGTGTCTCCTTCCTCAGGTCATCTGTTTCCTGGGATAGACTCACCATGACCCTGCACTAGATAGGTGGTTATAGAAGACAAAGTTGTGTGTTCCATTTAATTGCCAGCTTTAGATATTTAATTATGCATCCACATTCAGCAGCATCCCCTAAAGACAGATCTGTAACCTTTCAATTGTGTGTGTTTGACACTAATCTCATAATACAGCAGCTGAAGAAAATATATTTGAAGAGGAATGTATATGAGAACTGCATGTCTCTCTACAGATCAAAAAAGCAAGTGGATGTCTGGGCATTGCAGAGTCAAATGTGCTTCCGGTGAAGAATTACTCCAGTGAGACTGAGCTGAATGACACCTCTGACATCCTGCTCCTCAGCGCTATGAAGCAGATGCTCAACTTTTCTGATAATTATATAGACAACTTTGATAAAGACACACATTAGAGAGACAACATGAATTAATCAGAATTGGAGTCAGTGCTATCGGCTGATTTTGATCGGCTGACTTTGTCAAGAGCTGCGGTCCAAGTTTTTGTATCATACACCATGTAGGTGTAATAAATAATCAGATACATTCTAACATCAGTTGTAATCAATAATCTGATATCAGAGGTGGACATATCAAGTCCAGAAAGTAAAAATCCAAACCAGGATTTAGTTTCAACCAACTAATTGAGTATAAAGAGTCACACACAGAGTGGTTGGTTGAAACAAAATCTTGGATTGTATTTTTACTTTCTGGACCTGAAATGTTCGCCTCTGTCTGATACGTACTAATTTATCTTGTAATCGATAATCAGATACATACTAATAAAAATAACCTGATGATCCAGCATGGTTTGGTTCAGTTATCTCCATCTGTTTGAGTTTGCTTTAGTGTCTCTGTTAGGCTGATTACTAGACTGGGTTTGGAAATAATCAAATGAAGTGGTCTCAGATTCTAATTCTTCAAGGGATGTTTCACATGAATGTTCTTTAGAAGGTCTTATCAAAGTGCTTAGCTTTGTAATTTAAATCTACTTTAGCCCTTCAACGCAGAATGCTAACTCACTAGAGGTAATAAAATCTCTGGACTGGCATCTCTTCAGACATTCCACTTATTGGCCCTCACAGAAACCTGAATCACACCTGAGGACACTGCTACTCTGGCTGCCCTCTCCTCTGCCTTTTCCCACTCTCCTCATACTACAGGCAGAGGAGGGGGTACAGGATTACTTCTGTCCCGTAAATGGCATTTTTCACTTGCTAGACTCCACCTCAACATCTCCTCTTTTGAATCCCACTCTGTTACTGTCACATATCCAACTAAACTCCACATTATTGTTCTCTATCGGCCCCCAGGCCCACTAGGAACCTTAATTGCTTAGCTGGATTTCCTTCTGAGCTCCTTTCCAGATGATGGCTCCCCACTAATTCTTCTTGGTGACTTCAATCTTCCGAGAGATGGGATACACACCAGCGGACTTGTGACACTTCTGTCGTCCATTGGCTTGTCTCTTGGCCAATCTCCTCCCACCCACAAAGCACACAGCAAATGTGCCAGTGTTAAATTAGCACTGCATGGTGTCTATATGGGTCCACACCTTTTAGTATTACCTTTAACACTTTACAGTGTGCAGTGAGTGTTGTTTTTACAGTATTAATCTTTATTAACTAATAGTGTTCAATTTACAACCTAGAGTGTTAGGACAATGCGTCTCCACCTCTTCCCAAATTGCAAGCCCATATGGGTGGCACACAAGTACAAAATGGGTGGCCCATATCTGCCCTATTTTAATGTACTCTCATTTAAACTCATTTGGGCATTCAGCTGCTGTGCTTTACTAACCCACCATAATAAGAAAGACTCAGACCAAAATAGCCTTTTTTCTTTTTATGCAAGTTTTATTTTAGTTCAGCTCTTGATACTTGAAGAACTGTTCTTTTATAAGTTGGAAGGCATTGAAAAAACTGTTGTTATAAATGTGTTCATTTAAGCATTAATAAGGTTTTTTTTAATTAGGATATGGAAAAACCAGCCAAGCTCTCTTGAGAACTGCCTGTGGTATAGAAGTAATATTAAAGGGCTGAATAAAGGTGAGAGCTATCTTCATGGTTGAAGGAGTGCATTTCAGCTAAAACATACAGAATGGGTGGGGCAACTTGTTAAATCAACATAGGTATGAACATTTGTTGTCCTATCTATTCTCAATATGCATTTAGTGCATGTTTCATTTAGAGAAATGGACAAAGAAGTCATTTATATGGTTGTGCATAATAAAATCTAAAAACAAAAGATTGTATACTTGACACTGCTGTTTTGTTACTGACATGGAAAAAAACTTGTTCAACCTGCAATAACAGGTCTTTCTTATTCACAAAGTAATTCATGGCTCAAATAAATAAACGAACAGTAAAAATGTTGTGCTGTAAATGTATTTCATTTTTAAATAGAGGTTGGGGTTATTAGTCATATCTTTTGCGCTTGTAGAATTTAAGCATTTATTATAAACTAAATTGAAACATATATATTAAGTTAACCTAATTAAAATATTTATTGTTCAGTTTAATTAATAAATATGTATTAAACTTACATAAGAAATGCATGTAAAACTTAGACATTTTTTTATGTTAGAACTAAATTAGATGGAAATAGGTGTCATAATAAAATGTATTAAATCTGACAAATTATTTTTTTGAGTGTACACTGCATGTGTATCCAACCTCCCCAGGACTGGAATTCTCTGTTTTGAATATGTCACCAGAGGAATCTGCACTTGTTTCAGGGGTATATTGCTGAAGGAGTGCTTATAGACATGAACAGCCAGCAAAGAGGCTGAAGACCCAGTATCTACAATTATCTCGAATGGTTGCCTACACTGCACAGGATTTTTTTTTTCAGCAGGGGAAGCATTGGTTAGAAGAAGAACAGTCATTTCAGGAATAACAATCTCTTTCACTTCTGGTGTCTGGCTCAAGTGGCACACTCTAGCAAAGTGCCCAGTCTTTTTCCACAATTTGCATATTTTGTTTAGCGCGGGGCATTGCGTAGAGTTTGCCAAATGCTTATCAGAATTACATCTGTATCATTTGCGAGTATATGCAGATTTCTTATGAGTACCTGCGCTTGTGGAGTGTTTATGTTCCCTCCATGACAGCGAATGTATCTCCCGCACAGGTACTTCACCGCGTTAAGAGTGCACTAGCATCACAAGTGGCTGATTCCAACTAACTGGCAATCTGAATAGCTTATCCAGTGTTGATTTATCTTCAGCAGCAAGTGTTCACGTCTGCAACTGCTGTAAGTATTTTCTATGATTTGGTTTTGCAACATATTCTGTTCAGCGTTTCCTGTCATGACCAACCCCGGGGTTCCTAACTGGGTTTACCTTCATGAGACACAGAGTCTAGACTAGGTTATGTGCTTCTCCACCAGTTTTTCTGGTTTTCCGGGTTCTTCTGTAGCCTTATTTCTCAGCTGACTCCAAGCTGCTCTAATCAGTGGAGTCTATTTTAGTTTGTCTGATCTTGTACTCCACCTGCCTCCCCGAACTCCGATGTACATCACTAAACTTTTGCCTGTCCACCGCGTACCTGTCTGAGCCCTCTGATTACTGATGCACATTGCCTGAGGCTCACCTGTTTTTTTATAATGAGTTTTCTTATTTTGGACATACAGCAACTCTTGAGAGCAGCCCTGTCCCAAATAGAGCCACTTCTCGTTCCTGAATCCACACAAGTGTCCTCCTTACTCTGTATCTTTGACATTCCCGAACTCACACAATGGAAGCATCTCACATAGTGTGGAGACATATTGCACAACCGTTTCATCGTGGCTGTGCACTCACTGACGAAACTTATGTCTCTCTGCAATTGCATTTATTTTCTGCACGAAATGCACCTAAAGGGCAGCCACAACCTGATCGTAAGTTGTATCTGTGTCAGTCAGTGTGTAGAAAATCCTCTGAGCCTCGGGCCCAATGCTGTGTAGCAGTACAGTGCGTTTGCAGGTATTCGGTCACCGGGCTCCCTCTGCATCAATTGCAAGTACGGGATGCGGCACGCATATGGTTGTAGCATATCAAGTCTATAAAGTAAATTAAAGTATAAAAGCCTATAAAATAAATATTGGTAATCAAATAAATTCGTTTTGTCATTCAAAGTAGGTCTAATAGGATTTTTTAAATTTCACGTAACGCTGTCAGTGAAATTTTATTTTTATAGAGACGCAGCAGCAGCATCAACAGAAAAAAATTGAGGAATTTAAAACGTGGATGCTTAGCCTGTATATTCTTTAGGCTATTAAGCCCACTGATTCCTTAATTTTTAAGCCTATTTTTGTGTGGAATGCCATTGCCAAACCTGTCCGTTGATGCCTATATGTTGCTTAAAAATAAATATTTTCTGAGTGGCAATGTTGCCGTTACTCATATTTCTTTTTGATATAAGGCTTCGGTTTAAGGTGACATTTGGAGCGATTTGACTGAAGCGGGAGGAAATTTTAGTGGAGTGAGGAGCGGTGTTGAGCGGAGCGGCTTAGTGCGAATTACAGCGGAGAAGCGGACGGAGCCAACAGCCTCGTGGCGAGGAGCGGAAATTCTCACTGCTCCACTGCGCTCACATGCTCTGATACAAAGCCTCATTAATAATTTAGCCATACTAAGCTGCTTATATTGTGGGCGTAAATAAATGTCCGTATAGCACAGAAAAGCTGGCGCACCACCAAATGTTGCCCCTGTCATCTGAAGCCCTAGTGATTATTGCGCATGCGCGATTTAATCGCGATTTGATATCGCCCAGCCCTACTCCAAAGTAAGGACATTGATCTGGTTTCGTTGCTTTTGCCGTTGCCCAAGTGCAACGGGCGCGTTGTGATTGTGGCGGCATTTCCGTTTGGGGTTTCGGATCCCCGATTTCATCGTGGCCTGTATATCTCCTGGTTCGTCGTCATGTTTGCCGTTTTATAGAGTCGTTTTTCGCTCTGTGTCCGGAGTGGCGTGGGGAGCTGGACGCTCGTTTGTCCTTGATTTATGGTTTGAATTGCGGTATGGTGGTTTTGTGAATGCTGTTACGCTCCAGTCTACGGTTGGAGGCTAACAAAGTGAAAGGGAAGGAGGGATTGGGAAGGACAGGACAACCAGAGCTAGGAGAAGGGAACACGGGACACAAAGGGAGTCTTTTTTTTATAGTTTTTTTATAGTTTTTCAAAAACACTGTACAAACACTAGGTGTAACGAACGTCAGGAGTGACAAAGGCCAAAGAAACAAACAAAAACACATCTACCGAGTATAACCACAAGCTAAGCTACCTAAGTGAACACAAAAGGGGTGAAACGAAACAACAATGCCTAAACCTATCTCCCTACCCAAACAAACAGTAATCCCCACGTTGACAAAGAAACAAAAAGGCAAACACTCCTTACACACACCTAGTGGAACACGAAACACACAGCCAAAGCAAAGGTATCCAGAGGGGGATCAGAGAGGCGAAGTCGAAGTACAGGCGAAAGTTCAAAAACCAAGCAAGCAGCCAAAACCAGGGCGAAGGTACAGTAAGGGATGAAGCGAAAATCGGAAGTCAAGAGCAAAACAGTCATACACGAGCATTCAAACCAAAAGCAAAGCGAACGAAGAGCGAGCTAGCAGGCGAGAAGCAAGTAGCGGGCAGGCGAAGGGACGAAGCGGCAATCTCTTCAGCCGATGAACCGGAAACTGCTCCGAGGG